TACTTTTCTGCTGCTTTTCTGGTGGGTCATGATAAAAGCATGACATGGCTACATATCCAGCGTGTGTATATGTATATATGCATGTATGTGTATACATGTATACTGCCTAAACAGTAGAGGCTCTTGTTTGTAATAAATTCAGGTTCAGTATATTTTATGACTTGCAGTTAAGTATAGGCATTAAATACTCCTTATGTATGTGCTCAGCTGGGAGAAGGAGACTTCTATAAAATATAAGTTACCTGAAACAATTACTGATAAGAGAAGAAGAATGAAAAGAAGACTAAAACTCTGAAACTGGCTCAAACAAAATGGGTTACAGATATTACTGAGAGATTGTGAGATTTTGTCTAGTAAATAAAAGGAATGTTGGCCTGGAAATCAATGAACCAAAATTGGTGTGTTGGAACCAATTTTGGTTCATCGATTTGGACTTGTACAACCCCCATAGGGAAAAAGGGAATCACAATAATCACAGCAACAGACTTGGGATCTCATAACTGAACCAACCTTTTCTTTTCTATCATGAAGAACTGTATGATAGATTAAGAAATTCTTAATATTGTACTGTGAAATTAACTCAGTGGCCTCAAAGGGATCTTTATATATAAAAGAAAACATTAAAACTGGATTCTGATCCTTCCTTTTATTTATACTTTCATAATTCCTTTGATTCAGTTCCTTGGTGATAGCCTTTCCACATGAGCTAGCAAGCTGAACAATGTGAAAAATTCTCATGTCGTTACAGGAGAGAAAAATTAGATCCATTTGTATCTGAGACAAGCCACCTTCTCTTGCTGGTGATGCTTGTGATGACATATCTCTGTTGTTCTTCAGCTTGCTGGGTCACAGATGCCCATTATGCTCCTTCCTTCACTAGCTCTGTCTGAAATTCACCATACAGAAGCTGGGGTACCTAAAACACTTTTGAAAATGTGGATACTTTCTTTGAGAGGATGTCAGTCAGATTGACAGGTTCAGACAAGTTGGACATTCCTGTTGTATATGTCCAATTTTTTCATTTTACTGATATTGGTGGTGAGGATGGCCCACAAATTTGCTGCACTTTATTTCTTCAATTGCTTCACTTTATTTCTTTTAAGATTTATATAAATATATATATATATACATTCCAGAGAAATGACATCATTATTAAGAAGTTTAGAGTTTGCAACCAACCTAACTGAAGTTACTCATTGCTAAGAGTTAATCAAAGTCATAGTCTAGCCATGAACATTTATAGTATTTTGTGGGAGCCTGAGGCCGTAAAGGGGTTGGATTTTGTTCATTTGCTTGTTTTAATCTTAGAGCCATTCCGGTGGTGTAAAATTTATTTCATCTTTTAAGGAAAATGTGGCTCTCAACCACTATTGTACGTTGCTTGTGCATACAATATATAAAAGTGTATAGTTGATCGTGAGAGATTTTGGAAATTTCTCCATTACCTTTCATGAGAGTAGATTTAAAATGATTCCAAGAACATCTGAAAATCCTACTGAAAATGTACACTGTGATTTAGTCAATAACTGAGGAACTACCTTAACTTTTGATGCTGGAGGAACTTGATATTACATCCTTAATTAATGCTAATTCCTCCATATACACCATGCATGCATGCATATCTACACACAATAAATACATGTTACAATCTGCTATATATGTAATATATACATATATTATGTATATATATATTTGTGGTTGCTCTTATTGCATCTGACCACATGAAGATTGCAAAGATGCATCAACATGATAGAGAAACTAACAGGACACTGAATCTTGAACAGGCTTTTAAACCTTCCTCCTTCCTTAAAATCATTGCACAAGAAAACAGGACATTTTTACATAAAATTTTATGTAAATGCGGAATAAACAGATTAAATATTATTCTGCGTTCAGTCATGTGAAACCCTCTCAACCTACTGTAATCAAAGATGAAGACAGTAATGCAGAATAACATGAAAAATACGATGATAATACAATAACTATCAAACAGTTACAGAAAGAAACATCCACAAGAAATGTGTCTCTTCATTTGGTTCATTATAAATAAAGTATGCTTTCTTGAGAGGTCTGAACCTATTGATAATGTGACATTAATTTGATGGTGATTTGCACCATAATTTCCTTTACATTTTTGTAATGGATTTACAAAATTCCTTGTAAACATCCACAGATGTTGCCCAGGACTTCTGTTACAAAAATTAAAACACAACACACAACCCAAAAAAGCTTCCTTTAACTTGGTCATAAAAATTGATTTATTTGTTTTGGTTACAATTTTGCTATATTAATGGTCAAGGCACCATTGAATATATTGCTAATTAAGAGCACAAGCCAAGTAAAAATAACATATAAGGGAAAATACATTGTTACTGACTCTTCAGTCTGCTGAAACAGGTATTTTTATTGTCCTGATCCAGGTCAGAGCCTATAATGAACAATGTCTGGGTTCATGCAAAGTGCACAAGCAGCAGTAGGAGAAATGTATTTTCTATTTAATTCTCTCTCACTTGAATATTTGTACTCTCTTTTAGACCACAACAGTGGTTAATAACATTCAGGGAACATTTGGCAGAATTAAGTACCTGGAGCTCTTCAAGCAGTATAATCAGTGGCTAGGACAGGAATGTTAACTAGTGACATTTGAACACATCATTTCACCATTATTATGTCTATTTGTACATTTAGGGACAGAGCCTTCTCAGGTATAAATAGGCATAACCCCATTGTTTTATGGCATAGGCATAACTTCACATCCAAACAGGTTCTGATTTTCCATGCCACCTGCAACAAAAATAGCCTTTGACTGTGTATGGCACAGTCTACAGCCAATCACCTATAGTTATGGAAAAGTAGGAAAGAAAAAGGAAAGTACTAGTCTGTGTATATACTGCACATATGGAGCAATCAGAATCATAACTAATACTTTGTATGGTCATATCTGAGATGAAGACAGGAGAAATTCAGACTGCATCTTATGAAAAAGTTCTTCATTGAGGGTGGTCGGGCTGCCCAGGGAAGTGGTCACAGCAACAAGCATTCTGGAGTTAAGGAAGTATTTAGAAAATGCTATCAAATACCTGGTTTATTTTTTTTGGTGGTCCTGTTTGGAGCCAGGAGTTGGACTCAATGATCTTTGTGGGTCAAAGATCCAATTTTGTATATTCTGTGATTCTATGATTCCAAGACTTTAAGAAGGATAGCATCTAATCTAAATGGTCTTGTTACAAAAACAACAATTGTGTATCTATGGATATAATATGACTAATGTGTAGTTCTGGAATAGCACCCAATATAATTGTTCCCATTCCTATATTGTCTGCTTCTCAATATTCCTCATATAAGACATTACTGTATTATCTCTAGGAAAATAAATTGGTGATTCAGAACTCATATATTTCTGGACCGATCAAATGTATTCAGTGTTAAAGCAATGCAAAGATGATGTTTCAGATTTTAGAAAGTTCATTCACCTGAACTGGAAATCTGCAAGTACTCAGAATATCTTGTTGCTTTTTGAATTTTAAAACTGATTTATGTATTATATGTACAACTCTTGTTCTCTTCACATTCTTTTTGCATTTGCTACCAATTTTAGTAGTCTTGGTGCACAGATTCTCCTTTTGTGAAGACTGTCTCCTCGTGTACAGTTTTTTTTTTTTTCTGTTTTTGAAAAAATGCTTTTGAAGCTCCTTGCAGTTCTGCCCAGGGCCTCAAAACAATACCAGAGAGAAATAATAAATACTAATATACTGTATGTTATCTTGTAGAAACAACCTATATTATATAATCTGCCAAGTAGTACTGTCCTTTGTAGTGTCAACAGCAGTGTAATCATAGAAGACCCAACTCCACATCTCAGTTTCAGTCTTTATTAACAGGATGAAAAACACTTTCAATTGATAGGACTTGGTAGTTCATGGCAGTAAATTGTTTCAAATAGTTAATCTGGAGTTGATAGGCATCAATAAAGTATTTCTTTCTAGTAGTTAGAATTAGTTTTTGACTAAAAAGCTGGCACATCTAGCAATGTGTGAATGTCTGTAAATATATTCAGTAGATGAGGGTTAGAAATCTATGCCTTTCTTGATTTTCATATAGAGAACATTACCTAAAGGGTGATATATAACAGTAGCAGGAGATGATGCAGCATGAAAAAGCAGAGAACTTCTACTTCCAAGTTCATCACAAGTATAATTTCAAAGCAGCTAGATTGCTTTCACAAAACTCATATAGCATATGCCAGCTAGCCTGTTACCTAGGCAAGACAAATTCCAATCTCTAGAGGTAGCTTTTGGTTAAAACTGATCATTCAAGCCCTGTTCATCAGTTCTACATGTAAAGAAACTAAACACGTTTTTCACACAATCTTGCAATTCTAGATGAGTGGCATAAAGCATGATTTCTAATGTTTTTGATTTGTCACACACTAAAATTTGGTTACTGTGAGAGCCTGTAAGCCGCTGCACTTGGTTTGCACTAATACGTTTGGTTTCTAACTATGATGAACTGGAAGCGTTCATGCCATGAGTGATGGTATCTCAGGTCACTTTTTCTGGAATTAGATTTACTAGAAACACTTCACTAGGCAGTTCATCTGAACATATTTTGGTTGGCACAAGTAATTAAGATTGGTTGCCAATATACCCTTGGAGATCTGAGTGGTGATTCTTTAAGGAGGTTCAAGTCCTACTGCTTTTTATACATATAATTTACAGCTGAGATGCCTATTCAACCTGTTTCTGAATGTGAGTCTAGGTGTACTGAAATGAGTGGAATCAGAATCTAATTCATTTAATTCATTTCTACAGGGTGTTTTGAACATGTTAAAAAAAAAAAAAAAAAAGAGAGAGAGACATAAAATAAATAAAACTCTTAGGCTTACATAGATTTGTCAAAAATAATTTGATATTTCCATCTTCTGTTAACAGAACACATGTTCAAAACAAACATCCTCCAGACATTGGTTAACAGAGCAGACTTGCCAGGAATCCATGAAATGTAAGCAAAAATTATTTTGTTCGCACTGCAAGAGATTTCAGGCCTAAGTACTTGAAGACAAGGTCTTAAACCCATATTGAGGCTTCTAAATGGAATCATTTTGAAAAGATAATGCTTAAATAACCCTACCATTGCTGAGGTCAGTGAGAAGAATCCTGGGTGTTCATCATCATGGAAGTGCAAACAGTTATCATTATGAGAAAGGCAATCATTTGAAACATCATTTAGATACTATTGTCCAAGGGATAAACATGGAAAATGAGAAAAAGGCTTTCAGCACAAGCTCTAAGAATGGAATATCATTGAACACACACACACACACACAAACAAACAAATATATATATAGCTTTTTTTTATTTTTTTCCTCCTAGGAGCTTCCAAACCTCCAGAAAGCATTTGATGATCTTAAGGGTCTTTTCCAACCTAAATGATTCTATTATGATCTAAATGATATCTATATGATTCTATTCTAAGAAAAAGTATGAACTGCTGCATTTTCTTGAAATAAGGGCAAAATCAGGGTGAAACGTGATACGGAGCTTTTAGCTCACCTTTGGCATTTCACATTATAAGTACTTTTATAGCTTCGTGCCAGCCTAAGGGAAGTGCTTAAGCCTTCCATACTGTGGAAGCAATAGAAAAAAATGCAGTTATGAAGAATTTGGAGAAAGTCCAGGTGACATTTTGAGAGTTTGGTTGACCACTTATTTGAAGTATGAAGTCAAGAAAAGTGCTTAACTAACAAAAGGAATGTCTGTCCTTACAGAAATGAGCAAAATAAAAAGAAAAATTAACCTCATGAAACAACAAAGTAATGCCACAGAGTTAAATTCTGGACCAATAACAAACCGTTTTATGTAAATTATAGATAGGATAATTGACGTGCAAGAGACATTTACAGAGACCAAAAATAGCACTCAGAGACCCTATGTTTAAGTAAAAAAACATAGGGTCATAGGGTCTTTACTTTACAAAAGTAAAGACGAGAATAACTAGCTCAGACACATAAATGAAAATCTCAGCAGAACAGCCAATCCCTATTCAGATCAGCTTGCTACAGCAATTTTTTTTTTATCCTCAGCAAGACAATATCTTGTAAGCTACAGTTACCTTGGTCCTCAACCAGCTCTTCTGTGGATTGGGAAAAAAATCTGGCAAAAGACAGCAAGTGCTGTCCACAGAAATGCAGAAAAAATTAACTAAGTATAACAATTCTGGTCAGAAATATCACTTTTTGGATCTGGAAAATAAGATATTAAAAAAAAAATGCTTCCTTGCCCATTTTAAAAATCATATATTATTTAATTTTTTATTTATTTACAGTGACATTTATGTTTGGGCAAGTATACTAATCATACACATCTACAAGATGCAATGCATTTATCTTACTCTGATATTCAGATCTGTTGGAAGAAAAGTGTGAATTTATTGTGTTTATTTAGGAGAAACTGAGAGATATTTTTATGTATTACATAGCTCTCTGTAATTTTTCACAAAATATGTATGGGTTTCTTCCTGTAGCTCTTTCTGAAAACTATGTGATGAAGACTTCCAGAACTTTTCAAATGCACTTGCTGTTCAGACTTTCTTGTTTGTTTGTTTCTGCAGTGAATGACTCTTGGCTAACAATAAGTTCATTATCTTTTGGTGATCTGTGAAGGATGTCAGTTTACAGTTTGTGTTTTCCTAATCACATAGATAGCTGATATGCAGTTATGCAAATCGATTTTTTCCTTCATCCTACTATTATCCTAATATATATAATATTATTACTTCATCCTAACTAAATATAACTAAAAATATATAACTAAATAACTAAAACAATAACTAAAATGACACATACTATTTTTCTTTTTTTTTCTTTTTTTTTCTTTTTCTTGTAGTTGATAAAATTCAAGCTTTCATACTGAAAAATCAACTTTTACAAATCTCAATGTGAAGTTGACTCAAGGTTTTGAATGTTTATAGAAAGCAAATGTAAATTAATGACACATGAACTTTAACTCAAAATTTACTATATGTGATATAAGGAATATTAATTAACAGAGAATTCTAAAGTACATTAAATATTCAAGCACGTTAGACTGAAGAGTTACAGTAAGTCTCAGGTTTTGGCCATGTTATGAAGAATGCATAATGTTTGGGGATTTGTTTATTTATTTTGTCCTAGAGATTGATGGTAGGACAAATGCAACACTTGGATGAAAAACCCTGAGTGATGGGGGAGAGGCCACATGGAGGGCAAATGGGAGCTAAGCAGCAGTGACTCTGTTAAACATGCAACCAGAAAATAGGACGTCTGAACAATTTTCACACCAAAAGCCATCAAAGTAGCATTGCAGATACAGGTGGGCCCCATGAAGTGGCAACTAGGGATGAAAGCTAGTAAGACCAAGCCTGAGACCCTGCACTGGCTTACTGATAACATGCAAGCAGGAGCTGTAATCCTTATCACTTAGGATGTAACAAGTATGCATGCTGCTTAAGTGACTCAGGGCTGCATTTTTAAACTTTGGTGCCAGCCTCCTTCTCAGATTTTGTAGCACATTGCTGGTCCTCATGATTTCTGCTGTAGGCAGCTGAACTTCAAAAAGTAAACCAAATTATAATACTGCATACCAAATATGGAACATTTTGATAATTTTTAATACTAAAAACACATTATATAGCTTAACATGATTATTGCCCTACCTTTGTCAGAGGTCAGATAGCACAGAATAGTCATCCTTTGTTCTGTGTTGCACAGCATCATTAATTGCATTGCTACTTCCTACTCACTGCACTTTTCCAGAAGAGTAGATTTTATCTTAATTATCTTTGTGTCACTAAAACTGAAAAGAAAAAAAATGCTCAGATTTACAATATCATAGACTTTTATTAGGACATGTTTATTCCATGTTTTTCAATATATCTTCTTGTAGAGTAGCAATTCCTCAAAGTTGATCAAAGCCTGGGGCAGTCCATTTTCTTTCCTTTCCCAGTGACGAGGGCAATTATGTACCAAGAAGCCTCTTCCCAGAATGTCATAATTGCTGCAACCAGTTTCTTTTTATTATGCAGCATTTCCTCTCCTTCAATGTATTGCTTCAATGAATTCACAAACCAGCTCTGTCTGGTTCAAATCCATGAACCTACACTTATGATAAGATAATGAATGCATACTCATCAAGTAGAACCATATTGAAAGTGCTGTGGGCAAATGTACAGTACAATAAATTTTGTTAAATGAAGATGATATATTTTTAGAGGCATATCACTTCTCAGAGGGGTTTATTCACTAATTCGGCCTCAGTGCACACCACAGAACGAGGCTTTTGGTCTTTGTGTGATCAGATAGATGAAGTAAAACAGAAAAAAATAAAAGTAAATAAAACAAGCAGTAATGAATATATATGCATTGGCATAGTATTTAACTAGTGGCAGTTGGGAAAGTGCACAGCAAGATATGAAATTGATTCAGACTGATTCAAATGCTATCATAAAAATATAATCAGTAAGTCAGTCATCTAATGCCAGTCTAAATTTTAGGTGGTTAAAACAGCACAAACCATTAGCTTCACGTATAGGAAAGGAATGTATCTGCAAGTTTCAGTGGTTTAAACCACAGAGTCCGAGAGGCTTTTTCTCCTGTGAATAAAAAGAGGAAAATATAATTCATCCCTCCTTAACCAATGGACTTTAAAAATGCTTAATGAATGAATTAATGCTTTATTAATGCTGCATTGTTACTAGTAATAATGAACAGCAGAAAGATCTCCAAGCAGCTTCATGAAAATCATAGTGCTTTATGTGATTATTAGCTTCAGAAAATGTCATGGTTAGTAAGGGGTAGGTGAAGGGAAAAGGGTTGTCTCATGTAGGCTTTTAGAAATAACTTAATCTCTACTTTTATTATTTGGGATACTCTGAGATATGTAGACTCAGTATCTGGTTATACTGCCCACAAAAATGTTTGATAAGATCACAAAAGAACACAATTTCCTTCTGAGAATTTAAAGACAGCTCACAAAATCTGTATTCCTCAGCAGATGTACAAGGTACTTAGTATCTCTAGGGCCAGGTGGAAAACTATTCTTTGACTTTCTACAATTTCTTGGCATAGTTTTTATCCATGGGTCTTATTCCAAAATGATCTTACAGCTTCCATAGCATGAGTTTTACAAACCAACATGAATGATGAATATTTCCCATACAATTTCTAAGAAATGGATTTTGTTATGTGATCTGGCATGCCAGGAAAAGTTGTAGCAAGGGTCACCACATCTCACAGAAAGATAGGTACTCTACTTTTTCTGTAACTGAAAATTATCCTGAACAGGAGTGTCAGCAAACTGCAGTCAGTGATGTATTGTCTAACAGACAAGAATTCATTTGGGAGCAAACAATAAACTGAGTTCAAAACTTCATTGTGCTTCACAAATCAGATCTGCTATATAAGGCTATCTCTCTTAACAATAACAAGCCCAGACCAGCTGCTAAACTGTTCAGTTTAGAGGTACAGAAAAACTACTTTTTTTTTTCTCTATCTTATTATCACTAAAGAAAGAACAAGAACACTTGTTTATAATATACTGAGAATGCTAAATCCACAAATTAAGATTTATATAGCTCAATTTTATGTATAATTTGAAAATATATTTCATAAATCTGATCTGCTACAGATCTCATTACTATTTTTATACTTATTCCTTCACGTCTTTTCTTCTATGTCAATCTATGTGTTTTCTTCTAGTTTTCTCCTGGCATTTCCTGAGCTATCTGACTCACTTAGAACTCTAGAGAAAGATGAAAGCTGCCTTCAGGCAGCTTTGGCAAATTAATAATCTTTCTGAAGGGTGACAGGGTCAGCTAATGCCAGAGTCAATATTCCCTATACATACACAGAATACTGAAAGTATTAAAATAATAATAATAATATTATTTGCTAAGACCAAGAACATATTATAATTGTGCAACTCAGTAAAGTTACTATATCTCAACTACTTCCAAGAGGCCTTTGATGACCCTCAATCTGAATGTATTAACATTACCACTGGCTCTGTGAGATGAAAACGATGCCCTGTTACACAGTAGTCTCAAAGTGACTTATATCTACCTTCCCTAAAATTCTGTACATATCTCTTCAAGACAGAATGCTTAATTTAACTTGCTTCAAAGCATATCAAGTGCTCAAAACCAGATTCAACAAAGACAGTACAGGCCAACATGTTCCCTCCTGAATTCCTGAAGGTTTTCTATCAGCCATTCATGCTTGTAGTCAGTGTTCCACTCAAGCACACAAAACGTCTGTCTGCTATGTTTCCAAATGAAGGCGTCTGCTCCCTTAGACTGATCACAGGGAGATTCCCCAGTTTGCCTATTGGCTTTCCACTTAGGGATGATGCACAGCGCTTAAAGACAGTGAGATGTGATTAGGATGTTTTAATATATTTTTAAACAAATTTTCTAAAAAAAAAAAAAAAAAAAAAAAAAAACAGGCAGCTTCATTCCCTAGCTCTAGTTTTTCTAATGGTCTGTGCAATCATGAAAAAGAGTTACCTAGTTTTAAGTCAAAATGATCAAAATTTTTTCCAAGTAGTCCAATGGAGACAAGGTCTGGATAGTTATTTATATTTTGAAGAAAAAAAAAAAAAAAAGTGTACATTCATCTTTTATAATAATGTAACTTTGCATGTAACTTTGAATTACCTAGAGTAGTGACACTGGATACTTAAAATAATTATTCAAGTTGGAATCAATAGCAAACAGGCATTGTTCTGCCAGCGAAGAACAGAGAACTGAAAATAACAGGAACCTTTATAGGATCAGCAAATTTTTTCCACACCACTCTGTCAAAGGCTTTCTCTACATGCAGAGACTTGATGCATATCAAGTCAGTTGTCAAGTCAATTGTTCTTAACTTACATTTTTCAAGAGCAGAGAATCTAATGAGCTACCAAGAAAATTTTTATGAGGTTAGCTAACAGTCAGGTTTGAATGATTCAGGTTTCTATGGATAATGTTTAAATTTAAAAGAGGAAGAAAATAAAAAGGCTACAAAAGCAGCTCTAGAGGTCAAAGGAGAAAGGAGATTTCAGTTCAGAACACTTGTGTTCCATATCGAGTATTTCTGGAATTGTGGAGAATAGTAGAATTAAATACCTATTAGCCCAACCAACCTTTCTGCCATTGCTGGAGATCGTTTGCTAAGATAACTGACAGCTTCTAGGAAAAGTTGTTTAGTAAAGCAGGTAATGGCATTAATGGCAATGAAAGAGAACACTGATCATTACAGCTGTTGCTGTATTCTGTCCTTGTAATTGCTTCTGAGGACATTTAATGATCAGCCAATGCAAAGTGCCTGTGAAAGCTGTAATTCCCCACTCATTCAAACACTGATTGAGCTAACTTCAAGTCAGCCTCAGCAGAGAAAATTCCTGCTTTCTTACAGCCAACTCCTACCTTCATTGCATGCTGCCTTTGACTTTGATGGCAACAAAATCGAGTCCAGTGATTTGCAACCTTTTATTACTGAGTTGCAGCCTTGATTATATCATTATTTCAAGTCACAGAAGTAGGCATTTACTTTTCCTTCTTTCCATGAAAAAAATGAGTTAATGAATTGATTAATGAAAATTGCATTCCACTTTCTCTCTGCATGACTTTGCATACCTGTTGCTAATTACAGTGTGATGAGTTAACTCTGAAACTGCATTCAACTCAAAGCAGAAATGCTATGAACAGACTGATTACTCTTAACCTTCTGAAAGGAAAGCTCACCCACTACACTTGATCAAGCCAGTCTTAACACATGCAGACTGAAAACAGCCAAAACATTTTGCTTTTTTTTCTTATCTTTTGAGCTACGTATGAGGTGTTTTGGGAGGCTTGTAGCTCTTGTTTAAGTCCATTTTATCCCTAGTAATCTGTATCTTCAGAACATTTGGGGAAGGAAAGTTATGCTCTCAAACTATTAATGTGCTTTAATTAAGTCAGAAATGAATTCAGTTTGTTCACAGTGATCATGCTCAGCTGTTTATTATTGCCGCCCCTGATATGGATTTCCACAATATAGGAACTGCAGAAGGTTCATACTTATGTGGTATATGACTTTCTGGAAGCAACGTAAAGGATAACACTTACCATAATCAGTACTTCAGTACTGATTTCAGCAAGACACTAGATTTGATTAGCGGTTCTCCTTAAAATCATTCTCCTTCAAAGTATCGTTGATGAAAAAACTTAGTGTATGCATTTTAGAGGGCAAAAAAAAAAAAAAAGACAAAATACAGTACAGTACTAATACAAAATAATTTATTTTTCAATATATTCACTTAAATTGTTAGCCAGTAAAAATAATAATACTAGTGACACAAAAGCATAGAAATTATAACTTTTATAATAAAAACATGCATTGTATTAACAGTAATCATTCAATTAAGCTTCTGATAAATTTTTTTGAAGAACTATTTGCCAAAATAACCTTTAATATACATTTAATACTGTATGTGCATATCAGTGCCCTCTGCTGGATAGAGTAAGATCCAAACTGGTGTTTGTGATCAGGCCTTCTCTGAACTGCTAGATCATGCTAGGTACTCAGTGCAGAAGGTGAAGGAAATTAATCTCTTAGTGACATAACAGAAAAAAAAATGTGTAGATATATAATATTACTCTTAATGATATAAATATATATCATTATAACAATGTAATTAGATATTATATATAATTATTTTATAATAATATGTATAATGTATATTATAAAATACATTTATAATTATAATATAGTATATGTTATACGCATATTTTATTATATATTAATATTTATTATATATATATAATCATTATTTTATATGATGATCCTTGTGGGTCCCTTCCAACTTGGGATATTATATATATATATATATATATATATATAAGGTCATATATATATATAAAAATATATATATACACACAATATATGTAAATATATTATATAAATTATAAATATTATATTTCTCTATATTGTATACATTATTAATATTATAATTTAAACATACATCATAAATATTATATGAATATATTATTATATTATATAATGTAAATACATTATATGTATTATATTATATATATCATATTTGTTATATAATTTTATAATGTATATTATATATTATAATATATTATAGTATGTACATAATATATATATACAATATATGTGTATATACACATATACTATATACACATATATTGTATATATATATTATGTACATACTATATATATATTATATATATATTATTGGGGGGGGTACTAAAGTTTCCAGATTTTGTCTCTTAAGCCTTGATGCAGGTGGTTTAGTTAAGCAGCTGTGATCTCTCTCTGTTTCAGCAAAGGAATCTGCACACATGTATGAATTGGATTCTTTTTCCATGACCAAGTGTGCACCACTACCCAAAAGATTTCACTGTGCTGAATTTCAGCATGGAATTTTATTTTCCTTTTTTCCATAGCTACAGACTTCTATTTTAACACTAACCTCCATGAGTGGTATTCAGGAATATTTGTTATCTTTTTTAAAGAACAGACATAAACAGCTGCCCCTGTTTTACCTACTTTGAGAATAAATGGTGTACTCTGACTCTAGAGTTCTTAATATAGCCTGTTCTAAAGTCATTAAAGGCTATATCCTAATCTAGAATTCATTCAAGATCAGATTGTTCCTTCCGAGTCATTCATATAGTCCATCTCTATCTTCACATAAAGGGAAAGAAGATTCATTATAGCATTCCCAACAGGTCAGATTTGGGAAACCAAAAGGTCAAAGGCAATACTGAGGAGAAAATACATTAAGCAATCACATACTTGAGGTAAGGTGCTGATGCCATATGCTACACAGCTCCTTTTTCAAATTGGATGGCATATTGGCATATTGCTCCTTTTTTTTTTTTTTTTTTTTTTTTTTTTTTGCTAAAGTACTGCGTTCTGGATACTGTCCTCCCTGATAGTAGTACTCAGGTTTTTTGACTTTGCACAGCTACAAAAATAAATAAATAAATAAATAAATAAAAATACTGCATATCACTAATTAGGGATAGCATAAGAAAACATCTTCCTCAGAACCCCCAAATTAATCAAAAGCTGTGAGCTGATACCTTGTCAGAACTCTGCTGCATTCACAAGAGCTGCAGGTGACAGTTCTAGATGTCATCTTGCCCCATTTCAAATGGGGAAGCACACTTGCAAAAAAAAAAAAAAGTATTTCACATCAGCACCAAGAGGACCGTACCAACAATATTAGGTTTAGGGACAAAGACGTATCGTGTCAGTGCAGTTGTCCCTGGTTTCTGGCAGACTCCAAGTTTAAGGGAGAAGCATGGAGACATCTGGTTTAGTATTTGCTTTGTGAAATGCCAGATCTGTCTGCACTCAGACAGATGATAACTCTGAGAATAAGCAAGCAAGTATATCCTCCACCTCTCTAAGGAGCAAAAGACAATGAAATGAAAGACTGTCAGGGAGATTTCCTTGGACCGTCGCCAGGTCTGCCTCACTTGTCTCTTGCAAACATTGCTTCATTCCTCTTCCTTAAGCTAAGCTACACATGGATAATAAACCAGAGGGCCATGGGTGAAAGTCTGTACATAAATATGGGGTAAATGTTGTGTCTTTGTGGTGTGGCATGCTTGGTCAGTCAGGATGCTGTACTAAGGCTGCTGTGGTTCCAAGAGGCTGCTGTCCTCTACTTTCACCACATGCATTTATTCAAACATCTTTTTGACTTCAGTGGGAACAAACTAAAACCTGTAGGATGAATCATGTTGATCATATACTTTTAAAGGGCCTATAACCAGATGCTAGCTAATAAAATTAATTTATTTTTTTAATATGTAATTATAATTCCAAAAGCTACTTTGTAAAAAATAAATAAATAAATAAATAGTTCTTATGTTTATTTATTTATTTATGTATTTATTTAATATTTATTGTTCCATCTTTCTTTCACTCACAGTAACTAGAAATATTATAATAAATTTTTTGGGGGGGACAGCAACATGCATTGCAGTTGGCCACATAATCAATAGAACTTTCCCTTACTACGTGGACAAAACTGCATTTTTTTTCTGTCAAATGTCAGTTGAGATAAGTAAATCTGGTCACTCTGGAAATGCTTGTCAGTGAGACGTGCCTCAGCTGGTGATGATCAGCCATGAAAATGTTCACAATTGAGCCTAATTAGACTTTGAAGTATAATCTTTTTAAATGTCAGGTGTTGCCAATCATCTGCAACCAAGCTTCCCATTGAAATCTGAAGGACTATCATTATAGAAAAATATTTTGTGTGACCCAAAAGAACTTAGGGATGCTTTTAATTTTCCTGCAAAATTAAAAAAGACAACCCTATAGCAGTTTATATTCTGGGTGTCATTGTCAGAGTTCCCTTTATCACAGTGATGCAGGTACTGCAAATGACCAAACAGAGCTATCGGTCTGATTTTAAGTTGTTCAAAAATAGAAGATATTGGATGAGACAGAAAATGACCAGAAATTATGAAAAAATCTGCAGAGCTTTCTTACCTGAGCTCTAGCATGCCATCAAGAGTGAGGTTTTCTAGAGTATGCTCTCATGGGACAGAAGAAAACTTTTGGACACATCTTTTGCCAGTATAGACATATACTGGCTGAAATATATACTAGGCTGAAATTATTGTAAATGTTTCTAACTACCTTTATGCAGGTAGTTATATAGTAGTCCTATATTTGTCATTACTTGTGCACTTATTACTTAGTTTATTATTAAATAGTGTAGTAATCTGAGTACAATTCAAATACAAATATAAATACAAAATAAAGCTTCTTTGAGCTACAAAAAAGATCTCACTGAACAGCAAGTAAACTTTTCTAAAACAAAATACCCATTGATAATGGAAAGAAAATTTGCAGTATCTAATAGTATTGTAAGCTGGTTTACACATCTTGTTAATGAAAATTAAAGGTTTGCACTGATTTATAAATGAACTATAATTGCTTTTATTAAGCAATATGTTAATGAAGTCTGGTTTATAAAATATTTGAAATATGAAATATGTCAGCAACTTAATATTTCAATTCACTCAATACAAATATTATTAGAAACATACTGTTATTAAAAACAGGACACTAAAACTACTTTCTGCAACTTTAAGAATGAAAAAGCAATGATTACAGTATATTCCTTTGAATGTCACGTACATACCATTAAAAGTATTAAAGAACATCCAAATGATAATGTAATAAGCATCCAAACTAAGCAGTAAGATACACTGAAAAT